TCGCACATTTTCCTTCAAGACTTTTCAGGAAACAACTGAGGCCCATCGAAAGAACCTGACTTTTAACTTTTTCCGGTTTTATCGACTCCGCAGACCGTAGAAAGGACCCATAGCCATACTCTGGCGGCCCCGCGCGCCTTGCAGGATTGCAGAAAGCCATCAACCATGATTATCGCAGGCAGAGCGTTGCCTATAGTCTACTCAGCAGCATCAGCCTTAAGAAACAAAAAGAAGAGAGCTTCCACAGGTGCACTGCGTGCTATCCTACCACCCGTTCCAACCCCCGCTGTTCTTTTCGGCGTTTTCGCAGACCACCAGTTAGTTACTTGGCATCATTTCATGTCACTCTTCCATTTGCTTCACTATTCTCTCTTCTTCGTATTGGAGACGGCAAACCCTTCTCCATCCCTGGTCATAGCGGACCGCCCTCAGGTCAGCGAAACCCACCCGACCCCCTCCTCCAGAAGACGAAGAATGACAACCATTCACAATTGCCTGAATCATATGTAAAAACGTAAAACGATATCTCCTCGACGCACGCGTCAGATCGCACGCGTCAGATGAGATATCGTAGGCGTGCAGATAACTTGGGTGGGAGCAGACCTCACACCAATCCTGATTGAAGTTCCAATGGAAGGGATCTGCTATCGAATATGTTAACGTCAGGGCGGCAGCACCCGGGCGGGCACCCGGGCGGGCAAGGACAGGTGGGAAGAGGGGTGCGGCACTTTTTTTGTTATCTATTACTCGGCGGTAGTCACATCTTTCGCAGGACCAGCCTCAGGATCAGCCCAATTCTGCTTTTTGCAGACCAGCAACCTGTCGGCTCCGGCAGCGTCTTCGCTTTTCCAGCCCTTGCAGTCCCATCTCATACCCTTCACTATTCTTGCCACCTTCTTCACGTGCGACTTGTTATCTCTGATGATGACCGATCCCTCCGGTCGCAGGAGGCGATCCATCTCGAGGAGGATGTCGACGGGGTCGCAATTGCTGCCATAGTGCCCGAAGATGCTCGCAGCGTGGATTAGATCGTATGTCCGCGGGTAGCTGGAGAAAGCCTCACACCAATCCTGATAAGTTCCAATCAGTCCTCTATCGAAGATCACGGGGAGAGTGTTGGGTCCAGACGACATGACAGCATTCATGACCCAGGCCAATGACCCAACCAGGTCGTGAAGTGCCGCTGCAAAGGAACCAAGCCCGGCATTCATGTCGAGAACATTGCGGAAGCTCTTCTTTGCAATGTCAGGAAGCACGGAGCCCGCGTAAAAGTCCACCGCCTTCTTCCATTTTGCGCTATCTTGGTTGAAATCCACATTGCTAAACATCGGCCTGCCCTCGCTGTCGACAATGTTTGCCAGCCGAGGACTCGGCGTGTTCAGACGATCAGGCCAACGAGGAATTAGGTCGATGGACGCTGGGTCTTCTTCGTTTGGCAATGGTGCGAGACAGCTAGTCATCGGTGTGTACCAAGCCGCATCGGGATTGTCGCCGTCACCACAGACCGGGGGCGTCGCACCCGCTTGCCTCTCGCTGTAGCATTTCCCATCTCGCGGTTTCCGCCAGATCGCGAAATCGCCCGCCTCTCCTCCCTTGGCAACATACTCCCAGCAAAGCCTTTCTGCAATTGTCTCAATGTCCGACATGACTTTGCGCTGGTCATCTTCCACGTTGTGCCATTCCTTCTCGTGCTGCTGCCAATTGACAGGAGGACCGGACAGCACCCAGTACCCGCCTGGGCGAAGCAGACGGTTGATTTCGATCAAGAAGAGGCCGTCCCGATCATACCATGGGATCAGGCAGCGACTGCAGTGGGCGAGGTCGAAGGAGTTTGAAGGATACGGGAGGCGCTTGGTGGCAAGAATGCCAATGATGGCCGGAACGCCTCGTTCTAGCGCAAACTGGACCTGCGCCACATGAGTGTCTCTTGGTGCAAATGACACCGTAAGGATGTCACGATCAAGCAGGTACGCTCCCCAACTGGCAACGCCGCAGCCAGCATCGAGCGCCGTTCTAATCTTACGCTCTCCAAAATGCAAGTACGTGTCCATGTCGTTGATGTACGCAGTAGCACCGTTCGGAAACATCGTTCCGCCTCCGGGGAATATCAACCGCCCACTTTCCGGATCGTGCTTCACCCAATTCTGATTCGCTTTCTCTCTTGTGAGGTGGAGGAATGGGACGTTATTATACCACACCGAACGTCGGCTTTCCGGCCAGGGCACCGACTTTCGGTACCCTTTCGGCGGGGGAATGAGGCACCGCAGTAGCTCATCCTGCCTTGGGCAATGACGTTCACGGTACTCGTAGTGCTCGCGAGGGAAGCCGAGCGAACGCTTCGTATCTTCGCAGGGAGTGTAGTCGACAAACTCATTAGCGCACGGTTCAAAACTTCGCTCCAGTTTTACTTCTTCATTTGCATCGGGGCGGACAAGCTCTGAAAATTGGTTAACTACACCCGTGTTCGTTGTTGGCGCCGGAGGCATCACCCCCATCCTGCCCAAGTAGAAGAAGAGCCCACATAGTACCACCACCACTATCACCGCTGGCAAGAACTTGGACCTGTCTCTTTCTCTTTTTGCAGATCGAAAGCCCGAGCTCCCCATTGCTGATCAGCTCAAGTGCTTAGCCTCTCCTGCCGAAGGGAAGTCGCGTTGGAGATGGTGGGTGCCACAACTCAAGATGATTCTCAGTGTTCTCACGGGAATGGAAACTTCCCATACGCATACATCTGCGTTCACGACAGCACCAATCGATTGTCAGATGAACACAGCGAAAAGCGCCTTGAGCCAACAGCTCGACTCAACAAATAACATGCTCCAAAACTTCAAAAAGAGAAAAGAAGATCACATGCTCCAGAAGATGGGTGACGGACGTATTGCGAACATCCTTTGCGATGCCATTTCAAGGGTGAGGGCCAGACACCAAAGACAAAGCTGTCATGTGTGCACAATGCACATCCCTTTTTTTTTTTTTTTTTTTTTTTTGGGACCCATGCTCCAGTCTATTCGTGGGGAGGAGCAACACGTGCTGGGAACCGGGCCCAGCATCCCATACATATAGGTAGGTCTTATTAAATTATTTCCTGGTATCCTAGGCTGTTTTACCAGGTGCACGGGCACTCAACTTCTGCCCAGGTACATGCCCGGGTGCCCGGCCGGGCATGAACCCCAGGCAGGGTTCCGGGCAGCCCCAGCGCAAAAAAAAAAAAAAACGTCCGGAAAAAAAATATGTTGTGTACAATTGAAATACAAACGACTTTTGGCTGAGGATCACATTATAATTCCTCACAGAATCGGAGATTAAAAAGGAAATAAGTTCACATAACATAAAGGGAACCCCATTTAAAGTTTAAACCCCTTTAGCCCCTTTAAAACCAATTTACACCCCCCTAACCCAAAAAAAAAATATATATATATATATATTTTTTTGTTGCACGCCCGGGTGCCCAGCCGGGCGTGAGAATCTTCCTAGCTAGTATCCCTACTTGATGTCTTGCAAGTGTTGATGAGCGTCAAATTGATTGAGGGCGTCACCTCACCACTTACCAAATGATTCAAATGGAGAACGTATGGTCCCATACAACACTGAAATATACAGCCTGTCACCCACCATAATTTTTGTCCTTTTCACATTTGGTGAGTGGTGCGGCGAGGCCCTAAATCCCGCATGATTCGAACACTGCTCTCCGAGCCGATCGTCATCATATCAGGCTTTTGCAAGGAAGATGAGCAATAGCGAACTTCAGCAATCAAACAGCATCATACATATGAGTCCAGATAGTCTTGACCTCGAACCAACAGCAGAATTGCATCACGAGATTCACCAAATAAGAACACACCAACAGTTCATAATTGACAATGCTGAAATAGTCCCATCATCATCATCAACGAAGAACCAGAGTTGATATCCTATCTGGCGCTCGGCGCCCAGACTACATGTGGCAGATCCTATCTAGCCTATACTACGAAGCCGAAAGATGACATCAACAGCATTCCCGAAGTACGAGCATATGGCGACCAATGTCGCACGCTTCCAGCACCAGGTATGTCTCGCGCTACACTCACAACCTCGTTCCCCAACTCACAGATGCCACTAACACCCAAGGACCACCCTGCGCCACACCCAGCTCACAGCGGAGCACCTCGGCTATGGCTGCCCGCTCCTTCCCTGCTCGTCCGTGAGAGCGTAGGCGCCAGCCAGCAAATAGCGCAGCAGCAGCACTTGCGCAGCATGCAGCCAGCACCCGAATGCCGAATGAGGAGGCAGGCCCTTCCCTATATCGAAGTAGCCTGCCTGCGTCCAGTCCCAGGAAGCTTCCAGTAGGCCCCGGTAGTCTGAGGCCCAGCACGACGAGAGCAGGCCCTGGGCCTGTAGTGGTTGCATGTGCCCAACTGCCTTCGGCCTTTGTTTGGCCCAGTACCCGTATCCAGCCCAGGGCCTGCTTCACATTCATTCACAAAGGCGGCCCAGGGCCTGGGTTCACTAAACCAACTGGCGCTGCGCAACTGCCTGAATTTCCCTGAGTTGCGTAGTGGCCGGAAAAGGGCCCTGAGGGCCTCGTCGAGCCTGCCTTCACTTAGGGCGGCCGACGGGCTGCAAAAATGGGGCCTTATGGGGCTCATAGAGGCAATGGCCTCGCACTTTCATGTTATATATATACATATATATCGTCACAAACAGAACTGCCCGGTAAACCGTAGGCAGAGAGAGAGAAGAGGACAACAAACGAGGGGCTGTGACAAACTGTTTCGTTGGAGTTTCATGCCAATAAGATTACAAAATAACAAAAAAGTAAAAGTGACAAAGATGAAAGGAAAAAATCGTTGTTTAACTGCTGGTACACCACTTATGTATATATATCGTCAAATAGAACTGCCCGGTAAACCGTAGGCAGGGAGGGAGAAGAGGACAACAAACGAGGGGCTGTGACAAATATATATATATATATATATATATATATATATATATATCGTCACAAATAGAACTGCCCGGTAAACCGTAGGCAGAGAGAGAGAAGAGGACAACAAACGAGG